CAGCCGGCTTATTCATATTTATGAGGCTGATGAGGGACGGGGCCCGTGGCCCCCGCCGCGCCCCGCCCCCGGGTTGCGGATCTTGCCCAGGCGGAGGCTCCGGCCCCAGTGGGGCGCCCCCGGCTTCCGCCTCGGGGAGGGAGTTTCCACTTGGTCAGGACTCAAAAATGTGTCGCTCCCGCTCCTCCGCCCCCTCGTCCCTGCCCTGCGGGGGGAGGGTCTCCTCCATTTGAAGGCAAGAGGGGCGGCTCCTCGTTCCTGGGGTAGGTCTGTAGGGAACGAGGCTGACCCCGCCCTCCTTTCCTCCCTTCAAGATAGCGCCTGTAATAATCCTCATTTTTAAAACATAATAATAGTTCTCATTTATTAAGTGCGTATTCCGTGCCAGTGCCCTTTGTATGAACTTATCTCTTAACCCTCCCCAACAGTCCAACTGAGGTAAGTACAATATTGTCATCCAGAAGCTCAGAAAAGCTGGGTGACTTGCCCATCCTTTACACAGCGGGCCTTGGGCTTTTCCGGAAAGGTTGGTCCCGTTGGGTTGCGGGGGCAAGTGCTTGTCCTTGAACACGTTTCCAGAAATGGGCTTACCTAGGCACTCCTGGCTGGTTGTGTATGGCTGAGGGTTAGGTTTGAATGCTCCTTTGGAAGGAGAAGCTACATACTGGGTGAAACCGAAGCATGAAGGCAGAACAGGCTGCACCATTGACCTACTGCAAAAGGAAATGTGGGGCCTTGTGTTCAAAATGATTAAGAATTTCAAGATGGTGATGGCGGAACATTGAGCCCCAAGCATTAGCCCTTCTAAGTGTACCAGGTTTGTGTGACTGCACAGGTGAATGTCATGATGAAGAAGCTCAGGGGCTCTTCCAGGGGCAGAGAAGCTACTTCCCCACCTCCAATGTCAGTCACCCCTACCCAGCCAGCCTTTGGGCTGTGCTTCCTGGGTGTTCTCAGCCCCAAGCCCTGTGGACAAGTGGGCAGGGTCAAACAGGCCAGGCCAGGCCAGACACAGCACAGGCCTCAGTTCTGACTTGAAGCCCTCCTTTCTCACTGGTGCAGGGTGTGAGGAGCAGGCAAGGCTGCTTCCCAGAATAAACACCCCACCCATAGTCTGCCCCAGCCCTGCAGGCATGGCAAGCCAGCACCAACAAGAGACGCTCTCCAGGCCACGAGCTCAAGGTTAATAAGTCATCCTGATCTCACTCCCTCCATCACTCCATCCTTGTGCCTGGCTCTGCTCACAGTGGGTTGCAGAGCCAGGTTGCAGAGCCTTCGTTAATAACAATAGCTACCATTTGTTGCGCTGCTTTCTCCCCGCCAGGCTTTGGTGGAGCCCTTTGTGTACCCTCTCCACTGAGTCTCATTCAGGCCCGTAACAAGCATGAAGAGCACCATTTCACAGATAGGAACTAAGGCTCAGAGATTCGATGGCTGGGCTAAGTCCAAGAGCCAGAGTTCAGAGTCGTCTGCCATTCATCCATCTGGTTCCTGCCATCTCTCCTATGTCTGCAATATAGCTCTTAAGGCTCACTTCTTCATGTTTACTCCCAGTTCCTTGAATAGATTAAAGACAGTAACTGTGTTTATATCACTGAGTTTACTGCTGGAGCTATCATTGTATGTTAATTAGAGGGCCATTTACTAAGCACCCACGTTGTTCAGGACACCCTCCTTGCATGGGCAGGTGCACGTGTCTGAATGAGTGAGCCACTTTCTCTCTGGGTACTGACAGGCAAGGAGTCCCCACTTGACTATGAGATTTCCTTGAAAACACGGATGGGGTTGCCTAGCCCCATGCATACAGTAGGTCTTCAATAACTGTTGTTAAATGAACACATAATAACAGCTTAATAAACATATGTTGAATGAATGTGAACCTAGGAGATGTTCAATAAATTTTTATTGATGAAGCTTTAGGCAGCAAGAGTCAGTCCTCAAAATATATCTATCAGTAATTTTCTTAGTTCAAGCTGCTTTAACAGAATACCATAGACTAGGAAGATTAAACAACACACATTTACCTCTCACAGTTCTGGAGGCTGGGAAAGCCAAGATCAAAGTGCTGGCAGATTCAATTTCTGGTGAGGGCTCTCTTCCCTCCTTGCAAATGGCCACCTTCTTGCTATGTCCTCATATGGCAGAGCGAGAGTGAGAGCGGGAGAGAGAGATTTTATTTCTCTTCTTCTTGTAAGGGCACCGATCTCATCTTGGGTACCCTACCTTCATTACCTCACTTAAACCTAATTACCTCCTAAAGGCTCCACATGCAAATAGTTACACTGGGGTTAGGACTTTGACCTATGAACTTTGGGAGAACACATTCGGTTCATAACTTTTTATGAAGTATATACTATATTCCAGGTCCTGGGCAGAACTCTGCGAAGGGAGTGACAAAGCAAACGATGCCCTTGTGTCCTACTCCTTGGGGGAATTTAGGGTCTAATAGGGGAGACAGTCCATAACATGTGAGAGGGAGCAGGCAGCAAAGAATGAGTGCTCAGAGTAAGGACTCTGGAGGGATAAAACTCAGCATGATGGTGGAGGAAGAGGACATCCCTCTTCACCCATTTTTTACTAAGAAGAAGGAAGCCAGGATTGGCCTGACTGCTATAGCAGGTGCTTCTTCTGGAAAAGCCAATCCTCAGAAACTCTCTCAGAGCCTGGCCCTCTTGCATGTCCTGCAACCCCACCCTGCCAGTTATCTGATGCCCCACTGATGTAACAGGTTATAACACAAACTTTGGAATCAAACTGAGATAGCACTCTGGATTATGCCTCTTACGAGCTTCTAAGAACTTGACCAAGATACTTAATTTGTTTGTGCCTCAGTTTCCTCCTCTGTAAAACAATAATAATAGGCCCCACTCTCAAGGTTGTTGTGAATATAATGAAAGTAAAGTATCTGGTGCATAGAAAGAACTGGTCTGGCTGAGAATTGGGGGTTTCTGGTTGAGTCAACTCCACCAAGATTATAGAGTTCTTCACTCTTGTTGGATTTGCAGGAGCCAAATTTAAGGGCTTATTTGCAGCTAAGGGGATACCAGCTGAGTCCTGGAATTGACAAGCCTTCGGTCAGGCTTGACACTTGGTAGTGATCGTTAATACATACTGTGAATGTAACTCATTTAATTTTCACAACAATCTCAGAAAGGAGATACTATTCATCATCCCAACATGAGAATACCAAGTCAGACTTCTCACAAGCAAGCAACCTGCTCGCCCATGAAAACAAGTGTAGAAAACGATGAGAAAAGCCCTCAAGGGTGAAGGTTCCTTATGGTCAAGTCCCCCTTATGTCTCGAAGATTAGATTTCCCTGGTCACTGGATTCAGTTCCTGCTGGACTGTAAGCCCCACAGGGTAAGGACAGGTGGGGTCGTCACTCTTTGTCCGCCGCGTTGCACAGTGCCTGGCATCCTGCAAATATTCAGTAAATATTTTTAGAAGATATAAAATTAACTCATTGTGTACCTTTTTCATACACCTGGATTCCCCGGGTCTGGAGCCCGGCTCGGCGGAGGTCAGACGTTTTGACGCCGCCGGCTGCAGGACCGCGCTTTGGTCTGAATCGCCGCGATCCTGGACGCCGGGAGGGGGCGCTCTGCATCCCTCAACCTCCGCCCCGCTCCACGCACCCGTTGGTCAGTGGACCCGGAAAGTCGGCCCTTAACAGCACCCTCCTGGAAGTCGCTAGGTCGCGAAGCTGGCCTTCCCCCGCCTCCCCCGCCCCCGGGCCCATCTTATGGCTAATGTTTAACCTGGCCTCACTCCACATTATCCACACGGGGGAAACCGGGTGGGGTGGGGGTGGGGTCACCTCCAAATCGCCACCTTCCGGGCGTGCAGGCCTTTCATGTATCACCCGACAGTTCATGAGCACCTCCTTTCCTGTCTATTCACGCAGCAGTCATGAGACCTATTCTGTGTCCATTCATGCAACAGCCATGAGCACCTACTATGTGTCCATTTCCCAGAATATAATGAGCATCTATTGTGTCCGCGTAACAGTTCACGAGCAGCTATTATGTGCCAAATACTGTGCCAGGCGCTGGGGATGCTGTGTGCTCTGGCCGCGCCATCAAATATGCGAATGAAGGCGGAATTACGCCTGGAGGTAGATGCCTCACCTATAGAGGATGCTTTTTGTTTGGTGGACTACTCAAGGCCAACTGTGTAGCGGCACGATTGGCCAACAGCAGCAGCAGGGCTCTTTTTGAACCAAGGTTTGACACTAGACAACAGAGCAGCGAGAAGACTGGCTCAAACAAAACACACTCAATGCGAGTCGGGGTTCAACATCAGGAGGTAAAAACAACTTAGCGGGTGCAGGTGAGGGGCTTTCTCACTCACGTCTATCCAGTTCATTCCACTTGCTAATCCGCCCTGCGCTGGGCGCTGAGGGACCAGGCGCAATCAAGGACCCCGCGGCGTTCAGGGTGGGGACACAGGTTGCCCCATCTGCTAGGACCAAGACGGGGCCGAACAGAAGTCCGGATTGCTCCGGGCCACCCATTGGTCCTTATTCCACCGGGAGGGAAACTGAGTCCGAGGACAAGGCAGGGACCAGCCCGGCGTCGTACGGGAGGGAGGTGCTGAGCCCTGCCTCGAACCCCAGCGTGCGCCGCCCGGAGTCGGGAGCCGGGGCCGCA